TTGTCAATTGATAAGTATGACATTATGGTGTGAAATTTAGTTTCGTGGAAGCATGACATTGGTGGTTGTTCTTGCAGGCAAGATTACTGAGGGGTACCACATTCGTCCATGAAACTTATGGTGCCTACAAATCAATCGAGGAATTATGGGATGGTGAAATCTGAGCAATCTGGTTTGTAAGTTTGAGAAAGTGAATGGAACGAGGAGTGGCAGTTCCTTGGGTTAAATTCACCTACTGTCCGATCGTTGATCTGAGAAAATTTTATTAGATTCCTGGTTGGATTAAACTTGCCTCTTGACGCTCATTGATATATTTTTTTAAAAATCAAATCTATTTTTGGGTGAAGCTGAAGATAAAGGAAGAAAAATATAATGAAAATAGGAGAGTTTAGTTGAAGAGAAATGAAGAAGAAATAAAGTGAAAATTAATTTTTAAGTTTTGTTATATTTACAATAAAATTTCATTATTAACATTGATTGATTTTTATTAAATATATTTTTCATTAATATTGTTAATATTTAAAAAAAAAACATTAAACAAATGAAAAAAACCACCATTACTTCTTATAATTTATTATGGGACTTACAATGGATGAAAAGCAAATTTCTTTGTAAATTAATTATATTATCATTCCTAAGATATTCTTGCAATTTTTTGTATAAGCACAAGCAGGAAAAAGAAAAAAAAACTAGGCTCGTATAATTTTTATAATTTAACATGTTTTTAATCTTTATAAATAGGATATTATTAATTTTTATAAAAATATTTTGTAGTTTTAAATTTATGACATTTTCTACTTTTTATTTCGGTTTTTATCCTTAATTATGATTAATTAACATTAAAAATAAAAAACATTAAAACATAATTAATATAATAAAAAGTATTTTAAATAAGAGAATTAATTTTTTAATACAATTTAATTAAGGAATATATTTCTTAATATATATATATATATATATATATATATATATCACACTTATTTAAGATGAATATGAAAAAAATACTTTAAAAAACTCCTAGTAAATAATTCTTTACAAATATTTTGAGAATTCAATTGAAAATTGTTTGATAAAAACTACTCTGATAATGTAAATAAAGGAATATTTCAACAAAGGACAAATTTAGAGTCAATTCGTTAAGTGTAATGTTTCTTCTTTTAGTCAATGAGGAGATTCGATTTCTAATTACAATGTTATCAAATTTTTATTTGAATGTTTTTTAAAATTTAAATTATTTTTTTCTTATTTATTTATCAATAGAAAATAATATTAAAATAAAAAAATATAAGTATATTAAATAAATAATATTAAATAAGATTATTTCAAATATCACATCAAATAAAAAATATAATAACTAAAGATAAATTTAAATAGTATAAATAAATAAATAATTAAAAATAAATTAAATATTATAAATATAAATAAAACGGATTAATAACATTTTATTAATCAATCATACTTATAAAATAAATAAATGAGATAATAGATATCTCATTCATTAGATAATGCATCAAATTTGGATTAAAAATATTTAAATATTATTATTATATATTTCTATTTCTCTCTCTTTCGTTTTTATCTTCTTCTTTTTCTCCCTCTCACTTTATCTTCGTAAAAATTTCCTTCCACGTTACCTAAGTTTTATATTCTTTTGAACCATGTGTTATCAATTCTTGTACTTAGTGATAAACTCATCTTTACCCCCTTTATATGTAAACTAATTAAACGAGTCTTTTATTAATTATAGAAAATAAAGATATTTAAATTATCTAAAAATATTATAATTTAATATATTATATTTGAAAATAAATATTACACAATAAATTTTGAGGTGCTCTGAAAGAACCAAAATTTATTTTAATTATAAATTTATTATTAAAATAAAGATATTTTTTATCAAAGGATTATATAATAAAGCACTTAAAATATTAAAAAGATATAAATTATATTACTTTAGTCCTTATAAAATCTTTAGATGTTTATAAAAATAATATTAAACATCAAGAGAAAGGTGAAAAATTTATTGGTCCCAAGAATCTCTTTCATCGGAATGCTAATGTAGCTTACCAGATATATCCAACATTATATAATATTTGTTATCGATAGGAAGACATTAGATTGGAATAAAAAATATATTTAGATTATTTGTTATATCTTCGTAATCCTCAACTAAAAACGGGTAGGATTATAAAATGGGTCAATCCGTCCCGCTTTGGCTCATCCTGGTCCGATAAAAGCGGGACGTAGTGGGCTAACTCGTTATAGTCATAACGGGTTGTAAACATTGGTCCATCCCGTCAAGAGACGACTCTGACGAATCATGGGCTGATCCACCATTATTTAGAAAAAATAATTTATTTTTTAAAATAAAAAATTTCAATAAATTTAATAATAAGATTATTATTTGTTTGTCAATAATTTAATATATATATATATATATATATTATTTCAATTTAATAATATAAATCAATACATTGTTTTAAAAAATTATAATTTAGAACAATAATAAAATTTACATAATAATAAATAATAACATATATATATATATATATATAATATATTAAAACTTATAAAATTTATATTTTTTATATTGAAAAATTTAAATACTTATATCTTTTTTATTTGATAAAACTTCACATTATTCGTGTTTTAGTAATTTTTACATTTTTAATTCAAGTCATAAGGATAAAAATAATCAGTGTTTAGGAGAACGGAGAAAGAAGGTTATGTTTTACTAACGAGAATATTTTGCGTGAGAGTAAAACTTTTTTAATTCTCTTTTTAAAATTTTTAACATTATATATTATCTTTATAATTAACTTTATTATAATAAAAAATTATTTTTTTATTAATTAGGCGGATTACGGACTGAGTCTGCCTCGTCCCGTAGGTTGGCCCGACGGTAGGCGGGTTTGGCGAGGCAAGCCAAAGCGAGCTGAAAATATCAACCCGTCCCGTCATATTATTGCGAGTTGGCGGGTCGGCCCACCAAATCCCTAAAAACGGGATATTTGTTAAAAATAAATGAGATTTTATTGGTAATCTATGAAAAAACAAATAGTTACATCAATTCGTCCAAAAATTTTAGTAGTATATGTGATTAATCATGAATATATTTAATTTAGATATGTAATTCAATATATATAATTTAGGAGTCTATCTTCATGAAAAAATGACTAAAGACAAAAATACATGCATGGCTCGCTTGAAAGAAAGATATAGATTAAAGAAATAAGAATAAAACATATTCTTGAAAATATTTGTTTTAAACGAACGGTGGCATCGAGATTCAAAATTTGCTCATTTAAAAATTTGATAGGTTTACATACAACATCTTTACCAGGGGAATTGTTTTGACAATTAAATTGAACTTTTTTATCTTAAATATTATAATTTACATGAAAGAGAAAAATGAATACATCCTTAATATCTATTAAAAAATTATATACTCTTTTTTCACCTTATGCATGTTTTTGGTTCCAAGAAAGTACTGTTTAAGAGGAAGTGAATGAGCTGATTTGCAGTGTGATCAGAGAAGCGAGAAGATGAAATAATAATCCTTAAAATTTAGTGAGATTTAGCTGGAAAATCAATTTCACAAGATGAATTATCTAAAATACATTTTTATATTGTCCAAATAAATATTCTTCTAGAAATAAAGATTAAATAAATAAAAACAATAGAATTGATTTGTGATTTTTTTTTATTAAAACCATATAATTTATTTACATGATTTTAAATAAATATTAATTTTAAAATTAAATTATTCATACTAGAATATTTTATTTTAAAAGTAATACTTTTAATAAAATATTAAATAAATAATATATATATATATATATATTTAAAAGATAATAATGTAAGAATAAATATTTTATTTATTATATTAATATTTATATTAATAAAAACATTATTATAATATTTTAAATTATATTATTAATAATCATTTTTATTTAAGGATAATTTAATTATTTTTAAATTTTTTATTAAAATATTTTTTTATCATTAACATTAATTAAATCACTCATAAACTTTTCCAAACTTTTTTTTTCATTTTCTATATTTTTTATTATTTTTTCTTAATCCAACCTCATTTTCACATTTTTTTTTTCACTCAAATCTATTTTTTTTTCCATCCTCAAATCTATCTTTGCTAAATTTTTATCCACAAGAATTTTTTTAATTCGATTTTAACAAGATATATTCTCTAGTAATTGAAGATCAAATAAAGAATGTTATAAATTATTATTGATTGTCGATAAACTTTTTTTTATTATTATTATTTATATATTTTAAATATTTGTAAATTTTATACTGCATTTGATATCTATAAATATGGTATCCCATTTGATAAAATATAAATAAATTTGATTATCTTTTTTTTCTTCTTTCTATATTTGATTATTCGATAAAAATAAAATTATTTCAATGCTTTGAAGTTTGTTTAAGATCAAATTTTATAGAGATAAATTAAACTATCCTTCTATAAATAACCATATACGAATTAGGTAAAATGCAACCTATCAAGGTTGTATGCAAATCAAATGTGTGCTGTAAGTAAAGGGCTTGGAAGCCCTTAAAGAAGGAAGGACGTGTCCTTCTTAAAAGGATATTACCATTCCTTGAAAGAGAAGAATGTGTTCCAATGAGACAAGACATATCTAATGTCATTTATCAGATTCCTATTACCTCCTTCCCTCCATAAGTTTCAATGTTTTGGGATACACATTATGAAGGGAAAAAATTAGAGTGGAAACGTATGTTTATTATAGGAGATTCACTAATGGGGGATCACTCCCTTCAAATATTTGATGATTCACAGTACACAGGGCATCTTAAAGAATATTAAAAGCACTACATGTGCATGCCCCATTGTTCTTTTGTTGATCTTTTAATATATCAATTTTGTATAACTGCCTACCTCCATGGTGCAATATACTAATGCATCACTCAATGGCATCAAGACTGCATAGATGACCAACAAATAGTGACTAAGTTCATCAGTACTTCACAGTTGATTTAATTGCATCCAATATCTGTTTTTAATGAATGACTAGCTTTTATCAGTATCAGTCAAGACAGATATTAAACATGCTTCATAAGAGAAACAAAGATAAATTAAGGTAAGCAAACAAGTTACCTTATTTTTGGTTGGCATGTAGAAAGGTTCAAAAACCAAAGGAAAAGGAGTGTCCAGACCACAAACTCTTGCCACAGGAGCCTCTAACTGTGCCACAAAAGAGAAAGGCAAGCTTAAGACATGTGTTAATTAGTTGTTTTTGGTATGTTTAGCGTGGCCTTAATTTGTTATCTTTATCTTTTAATGTTTCAGTTTTTTACTAAGTCAATAAGTGATTCCTATCCCCAAGGAGCAAGTAGTCAGTGATCTAAGATTGCTGAAATCTTGGAAACATGAAAGTTTTTCTGTTCTTTTCCTCACTTTTCATTATAATACTCCTACATACAAGATTTTATTCCTCTAGGTGGCATTATGATGAATTTTGAGATTTCTACATGAAAATTTGTTGAGAAGGCTAATGAAAATGAAAAATACCCTTTGTTGAGAGTAGAATTAGAAAGCAAAATCAGCAGATATGAATATTCCTATGGCCTGAGCTTTCACTTGAATGCACATGATACTAAATCATTTCAAATTAATGACTCCAACTTTTCAAAACTGTTTCCCCTCCAAACAAAACCAAGTAAAAGAAAAACCCTTTTTACATATGTAATGCCATGTTAGAAAATTCTCATGGTATACATAAAAAATATATAAGCATACCCTTGAGAAGCAACGCTCAACAATGGAAGCTGAGACTTCAGCACCAAAACCTCCAGTTATGGGAGCTTCATGACTAACCTAGAAAGTACATTCAACGCATCATGTGAGGTGACACCAAACCAGGATTACATAATTATTCTATAAACTGTATACTCACGAGCAATCTTCCTGTCTTATTAACTGAGGCCTCTACTGTTTCCTTATCCCAAGGAATTAGTGTCTTCAGATCAATCAATTCACAAGAAATTCCCTCCTGCAGAATCTCATAACATTAGAATTTCAGTAGAGATGAAAATCTAGACTTCCACTTGAGAATTGAATTCCTAGTATAAAGGTCATATATATTAGCATAAATGAGAAATTGAACGTCAAACTCTCTTACAGAACAGAACAACTTAGTATGACAGGAAGTTTTCCTTTGTGCTTTTATACCCTTGATTTGAGATGCACTAATTAGAGGTAGAAATAGATAACAAAATGAAATTCCAATAGTATTAAGGTAACTAATCTAAACAACTTATAGACCAACTTAATATCACTAATTAAAATTTTGAATTCTTGTGAAGTGGCTCTAGAACAAAACATAATGAGTATGGTACCTGTCATTGAAAGCTATATTATGGGTTCATATAACGGAAATGATGATGCTTATATTTGTATGGTAGAAAAATAACTAAGATGACTGTTTTAATCCAACCCAAATTAAAAAAAATCACAATTTACTCCAGAACAGATGATGGATTCCATTCCATGCAATGCTATTTGATCACAAGTCCGAATTCCATTTTTGTCCTAATTTCTTACATTAAACATAGGAATGAAACTGGTTTCCCTTCCATCAAACACAACAAGGTATTAGATTTAAGGTTTAGCTTCCAACTTAAGTCTGTTCCTTTTTGGAAACACTGACTCCACATACCAAGGTTATTATGTTGCATCAAGTGCAATTCTCCGGTATGAGTTGCCCACCATAACCAAAAGTAAACCAAAATATGGTGTGATGCAGATTACATGTTTCAAGAGCTTTCAACTGCAATGCAACAGCCACTTACTTTTTCAGCGTCAAGACAAGCTTCTTTCATTATAGATAATTGAGCTCCCCATCCAACAAGGGTTATATCACTTCCTTCCCGAATTACCTGAATACACATTTCATTATTCATCAGAGTAAATGTTTCACAGAATAACGTGTTAATAGTGTTATGCAAAACTTTTTCTTTTATTCAGTGTGACATGTCGTGTACCTCAGCCTCAGATAAAGGCAGCATGTAATCATCCTCCGGTACTTCTTCCACAGCCAACCGATAAAGCCACTGAAACCATGAATCACAATATTAAAAATATAAAAGCCTCATACTACGCTCATAATTCATTAAGGTTATTTTGCTAGAATACAACCTTTGGTTCAAAAAATACTATAGGATTTGGATCTCGAATGCAAGATAGCAACAACCCTTTTGCTTGTCGTGGACTTCTAGGGATGACCACCTATAGAAGAAACTCTATTGAGGCAATTAGGGAAAAATGTAATATTCAAAGAAAGGCAAAAAGTTAAAAGAAACTTGGCTTTCCCACGTTAAACGAGTGGTATGCTATAGTTCTTATGCAATCACAAGACAGCCATAAACTTGAGAATATGTTATCCAAATCAATGAAAATAAAAGGGGAAGGGAGAAAAGATCATATAGAGACCATGACTCATGATTCTATTGGGCCGGAATGGATACAGTATACAATTCTACTTCAAAAAACCTACCGAAATTCTAGAAAACGTAGTTTAAACATATACATTAACATCCCCTCGTAAGATTAAGCATACACATTATACGCATCCAACTTGTAATGAAAGAACACAATATTATATGGTTTGTTGAAGTTCTCGTATCGACTAGAGATGTGACAAAATTATAATATATAAGTAAATATAAATCTTATCTTATAATTGTGAAGTTGAGTTAGAACTAAAATCCACACTCTCTAAGATGGTATAGTGGTTATGTTGAAGATTTTATATCGACAAGAGATAAGGATCAAATTAAAATATAGAAGTGGGTACAAATTTCATCTTACAAACCAGTTTTGTGAGGTCGAATTAGACCTAAAATGCACTTTCTAAGAGCATCCCCTAAGGGACTTTGTCATCTAGATGCATCGAGTCAAAGACACATTTTCTCTAATAAAATAACAGACTACATGAATAAAGTTTGGTCCATTTAAATATATATTTATATATTAAAAACTTCCATCCTCCTTTCAGATGTTATCCTAATTGAATAGCATTGTCGACAACTTCATTGAAATGATTTTGTTGTCATTATTATTCCACTCGGACAAGCCATGGACTTCAACTCTTGCCTCGCCATACTACCTTAAGCTTTGAATTTGAATATTTATATAATCTATTGAACAATCACACACTATATTGTAGGTGTCCTTTATTATTTGAAGAACACGGACAGGACATAGAAGTAAAGAAAAAGAAGGTTCTGACAAACACACTGAACTCCGGATGTAAGCTGCATACTTTAATACCAGGAACATGACAGAAGAAAGCCTCCGGGGACTGAGAGTGGTAATGTCCACCATGGCCCACAGCTCCATAAGGGGTTCTAATTGTTAAACCTGTAAGTTCGTAGAAAAATTTAGTGCAGCAACTGAAATAGAGATGAGCCAAACTTCAACATTGAAGCAGTGAAAGAAATTTACCGCCACAATTAAATTGGTTCCCACTCCGGTATCTAAATTTAGCAGCTTCATTGACAATCTGGAAACTAAAATTGGTCAATTACTGATCAAAAAAGGCTTTTTGACTAAACCAAGCCATGGAAGGTAGCTTGCCTGGTCAAAAGCAGGGAAAATGTAATCTGCAAACTGGATTTCTGCTATGGCTCGATTTCCCTGTCAGGTACATAGATAGCTTGAATATATCAGATCATAGTAAGGTTTGACATCAAAGCTATAAATGAGTTATTTTAACCAGAGACTCACCATAGCTGCTAGACCAATGCCAAAACCAACTATACCCTGTGAGTAGCATTGCAGTGTAAAAATTTATGTCAATTCTTATGATATACAAACTACAAAAATAATTAGAAAGACACTTAGTGTAAAAAGAAGAATACAGTAAAATGCAGAATCAAATTCTTTGGATACAATTTGAGTGTAAGATTTAATCAACCATGTCCTAGACAAACTTTTATATGCTTCTTTCCCCTTTCTTTATCTTGGAGGTTATAATTTACTTCTGATTTGTGTCTTATTAGAACCATAGTATCATTTATTAACTAAATACACATTTACATGGGAGATAGGAGGAAAAAAATAAAGAGAACGCATAGAAGCAATGTGAAATTATAAAACTAAATACCTGCTCACAGAGAGGAGTATTGAAAACCCTCTTTTTACCAAATTGGTCTGCTAATCCAGCTGTGCAACGGAAGACACCACCAAAGCTTACATCCTCTCCAAAAACATAAGAACTGTGATATGTGCAAGAGAAGCTAAGGAAGCCCACAGGATATTTATGTTATACAGAAACAACTCATAATAGTGCAACTGATAGAGCCTTAAAGTGTGACATGTAATACAAAAACTCAGTTTTTCAATTGAGTTAATATTAGAAGAAACAGAATCATACAACTTTTCAAACATGCCAAGGCTCCATGGAGATATGCACTATGTGAATATTGCTGTAACAGAGTTTGTTTACTAGAGTGCCGAAATACAAAGCTTCCAAGAGCAACCTTTGAGAACAAAGTTTGGTTTACATAACGATACACACTTCTATTTTGTTCTACTCAAGGGATTTGTAGATTTCGCCATTGAGTCCTTCATAGAAAATATATAATCATTTCCTTAATAGAAGCCCCAAATTTAAAATAAAGATCAATTTTTAAAAAGAAGTAAAAATAAAAATGAAAAAAACTAAGGGAATTGAATGTTTCTTGGAATTATGTTAGATGTTAGAGTCCAACGTTTCTTTCCCCCTCAGCCCCTCATTCCAAGTTTCTTGTTTTTTGTGATATCAAAGATTGGAAATAACCTTTCAGACAATCAGGGAAACAATGCAAATGATGCCCACCAAAATTCGAAAAGCTAAAGGACATTTTTCAAACCATTTCATCACGCGATATAATTTATAAGTTAACTTGAAATTAAATCTCCAGCAGACTAGGAACAAACCAAAGCATAAGACAATAACTCAACACGGTTTGAAACAGTAATTATTCAAAGCTAACATAGATTTCCAAGCTGTATGTAATCTACAGATAAAGGACATGAAAAAATAAATAAATAAAACAAACAAATTAGTTGAAAGATGACACTATATGAGACCACTGTATGAATGAATTAAAACTATATAATTGAAATGAATGATAAAGATTAAAACTAATTAAACCAATGGAGATTATGCCTGTAGGAATTATGATCAAGATTTATTCTTATCACCTCTCACACTCTCACTAGATATCTCATCAAGAAATAAATAAACAAAGAGACCAACCGGGGGTCAGAGTCCAATGCAATCTGGAGAGCCTGATTAATTGCAGAACAAAGGTTCAATGATTTCACACCTTGCTCGGATGCACCCTTTTGAACGCTGGTGGAGATGGAAAATCCCCTCTTACAAACCAAAGATACCAATCTTCCAAACTTGGTTGACATGTCTATGATGTGAAAAACTTACTGATACCCAGAAATGATTTGAACTTGAATTTGATCAAACTCTCCTCTCCTCTCTTCAAGTTCAGAACTTTCAGGGCTTTCAAGTTAAGAGGTAGGAACTGGGTATGCCTAACAACAAGTACCAAAATCTGTCGTAACTCCCTCTGAGCAGGGAATGCGCGAGAGGATAAAATTAGACAAAACTAAATTAAAAATTAGGTGGAGAAACATTGATTGAGGTTAAAATCTGAAACCATGATAGAAAATTGTTTTATGTCGATGTAAAATATAGATTATAAAATTTATGAAAAAAGTATTGAGAATCGAAGAAACTCTTGACTGTGTGTCAAGTTGCTATCTTTTCATTGCAGGTGATCAATTTTAGGACTGGATGAATAATCGGACAACAAGTGTAATCAACCATGATAATGTTGTTTGGTTCCGAAGAATTGAAGTTAAAAATTAATATTGTTAATAATAATAAATAATACAAAGCAGATAAGATGGGTGGTGTGTTTTTGAGTCACTAACCCTATCCAGCGCTGCAGCTTTATTGTCTCTTGTTATCATCACGTGTAAACTGTGTTTCTTTTTTATTATATTAAAAATAGGATAACTTTTTATAATAAGAAAATATTTTGTTTTTCTACTGTATTAGTTACGGGGAATAGATGCTTGATTAATTTTTTTATACTCGATTATGTTATTATATTTTATTTTATTATCTTATATTCAGAATCTCATATAAGAATTGATATTAAAAATAATTTATATATATATATAAATATATTTTATTAAAATATTTTTTAAAAATAAAATTATAATAGATTAAAATTTTAAATATGATAATTAACTTTAATAATATATAGTTAAAATAAAATTAATATATTTCTATTTTTAAACAAAATATATATATATATATATATATACATGATATGACATATTTATAAAATAATTAAAAGAAATACTTATAAAATTATTATTTTATAAAATAAAAAATAAAATATTCATATAAAATGGATAAGTATAAATTTATAAATAAAAACATGTAGTTCACTTGAATTGAGTTATATACAGATCTCTTTTATAAAACTTTTCTAAAGTTTTATTATAATTAATTGATTATATAAAGTATTTTAGAATCGTTAAATTTGTAAAAATATAAATCTTTTTAACAATTAAATTAAATAATTAATATTATTTGATTATTAAACTATTATTACTTTATTGAATATACAATATTTCTTCATACAATAAATAAACAAAAGTTTGCGAAGAATTATAAAAAATTTAATTTTGAGTATACAAACTAAATGAGAATTATTTAGTTATTAAAGTTTTTTATTTCAAATAACATTTTATTGAAGAAATTTTACGTGAAATGGTAAGTATTTTTTTATTAAAGAAATCTTATGTAGCAAGTTGCTTAAATTTATTTGATTATTGAATGGTTAAATAACTTACACTAAAGAGAGTAAATAAGAAAAGAGAATAAATCATTTAAAAATTATTAGAATAAAATTAATAATAAATTAATTAAGAATGATATAATTCAATAAATTTATATTTTATATTTTTCAAGATAGAAAGTGTTGTTACAAATAAAAATGTCCTACCTCTAAATAAAAATTCACATCACATATTACTTCTAATAAAGTCTAAATAAAAATTCACATCACACTGAATTTTCCTTTTGAGTTCAAATATTTGGTCTTGGAAGTGTAAAAGAAAGAAAGTAAAAGATATATTTATGAATTTACAGTTTGAATCTAGAATGATGCTTGTTAGCTCTTACTTAACTGCTCTTGCTTTTGTTCAATGCTATCATCAACTTTTGGCCTTGCATTCATAAGAACCTGTTGGTGAATCATGATTAGCATATAAACCTCAATCTCTATGCATAAACATTTAAGTCAAATTCTTAAAGATTAAGACAATATTTTTTATAAATACTTTTAAAAAAAATATTTTGTTTATGTTAGATAAACAAACTAATTTGTAAAAACTGAATTTTAATTCATGTATAAATTATTTTTAGTTCATAAAACATTGTTCAAAACTAAATCAATCAAACATATAATAATCAAGTTGATAAAAAAATTTAAAATTATCACAATTATCTTTTTTCTTATTTTTTATGTACTTTTAACAAATAATTTAGTTCAAACTTTGAATTAAAAATTGAACCAAAATAACTATTATATTTAAAGATAATATTATTTATTTAAAATTAGTTAGTGACTAAAATTTCCACCTAATTACATTATACTTAAAATACATTTATATTTATCAAAACATCATAATAATTTGTATTATAATCTTGAATTATAACATTACACAATTTATATTTTAAATAGAAGGAAATTTTAAAATTATCATTTTTTACAATATTTTAAACAAACTCATAACATATATAATGTTTAACAAAGGAAAAATTTATCAAATCTACAATAATAAAATCCGTAAACTTTGATAAACCCATTTGTTTGATTCAAATTTTATATTAAATTTAAATAAAATAAAAAATAAAACAAAATCAAGCCATAAACAATTTTTTTAGAAAGTATAATTACAAATAAATAAATAAATATATTTTTATCTAGATAAATCATTTTTTTTAGTAAATGTGAATTAATGATAAAGATGTTATATTTAGAAAGTAAAACTTAAAATATGGTACCTTCCTAAGCATGGTGTTCTCATTGATCAAAGTAGAGATACGTTCTTCCAAGATGGCGTTTTTATCTTGCAACTCTTTCGCTCTTGATTCCAAGTCATTCACATAAACCTTCTTTCTTTCTCGGGCTTGTTGTGCAGAAACCCTATTTCGCAACAACCTGTTTCCAACCATAATCATATCAAAACTCATTACAAAATTTAGTGAAATCAATTTATAGTTAAATGATAATCGAGACTTTTATCATACTTTCTTTCAATCTTCTTAGTTTACTTTCATTCATAACACGTTTGGATATAAAGAGACTAAGGGATTTTTGAAAAATTCTCTACTTCTAAATACTATAGACTTACGTAATTTTGATTCATCATAAAATTTTTTTTTTTTTGTCTTTGATAAAAAAAATGTTTTTAATTTGAATTTTAAGAAACGGTGATAAAATATAATAAAACTATAATAATCTTATTATATTAAATAGTATTTTCTAGAGAAAATATTTGTTAATCACAATTAAAATTATTCAATTTTTCTCTTTTTTTAATTCAATTTAGATTCCAATTCATATTTATAATCTTAATAATATTATTAATCATTTTTATTTTTTTTACAATTATCATTGTTGCAATACGAAGTTACAATTTTGACTCTTCATTATATACCAATACATAACGTTTATATTTATAATTGTCATTATATATTAAAATTATATGTTAAAGATTTTATGTAACGAACCTAAAAGCTTCCACTATTTTTTTGTTAGTGTTTTCTAATACAACATCAATGTTATCAAAAGCTATAATAACAATCACATAAACATCTTTTCAGCTCAGCATTGTCTAATTTGTCATTCATCTATTACTCATCTAAAATAAACTTTTCTAATATAATTTGAATTGTTAATTTCTACTCTAGTAGAGAAAGTTGAAAATATCACCATGAAAATATTTACTTTATAAAAGAGAGAAAAAGAAAAAGAAGGATAATGCGAAAAATCTTTTTGTCATTTTATAAACATATTAAAAATGTCTACTATCAAAAGGAACATTTAACAAACGAGAGAAAAAGAGAAAGAAAAAAGTAAAAAAGTCAGAATTGTAAAAAAGAAAGGAATAAAGAAAGAAATAGAATCGATCAGAAGACAAAATAAAAAAGATGAGAAGAAATGAAAGTTGGAAGTGTAAAGATAAAATGATTTAACTATAATGAAATATATAATAATTATTTTATTTATAATTTTTGTGATATATAACATATGAGAGGGTAATTGTCCTCTGATTATAAAAGAAGAAAAAGTGTGATTAACAATTTTATTACTTAAACTTAATCCATCTTTGACAAATTTTACCATCAAATTCCATCTCAATATTCCACACATTTTTTTTAACAATTTTACATTCTAATTAGCCAAAGAAAACTAAACCTTTTTAAAGATTCTCCTCTTAGTACTTGTTTCAGACTCCAAGTTATGAAAACATCTGAATAAATGGCATTCCTTTGACAAAAGAATAAATAAAACAAAAATGAAAAAAAAATCAACTTATGTACGAGTTAGTACTTTTTTTTATCAAATTTTCTAAAATCATATTTTTAATTCATGCACAAGATTAAAAAAAAAAGTTTTCTGTTTAAAAACATGAGTGAATAACATTCTTGGAAAAACATTAGCAAATGTAGAACATATGTGTGAATTTACTTACCTTTTGAGGCGTCTATGTTCCTTATCTGCGGGGTTTCTTCCCCGGCGGCGCTTTCCAGGGAAACCAGTTTGAAACTGAGGATCTCCGACGTTACGCTGATTAAGGTTGTTGGGAAGAGTGAGTGCAGAATGAAGAGGATTGGGTGTGGCCTCCACATCTGGAACTGTGAACATGTCTTCATCACTGTCTTCTGGATTTGTGAATACTCCACTAATTAGTTCACCAATGTGCATAAAAATTCCACACGCATCATGCAAAATTCTATCATCCAAACATTCTTTCTTTATGTCAACCTTTTGTAGAAAAAAGAAAAAAAAGAAAAACCCATGTAACAAAAAATGAAAAAAAAAAAAAGCAAATATAAACATTCAATGCATTTGAGATGAAAGATAAAATTTATATACATTTCTTCAAGTATTTTTAGTATCATTTCACTTTAAGTAACTAGAGATTCATCTAAAAAAGCAATACTTAAACAACATATAAAAAACACAAACATTATAGTTTAAGTATATTTTACAGTTATGTAGATAGTTAAGATAAAACTCAAATTTTTATGATCCTTATTACGTGGATAATTGTGATGAAACTCAAAATTTGATTAGAAATGTATGATGGTATAAACTTTATCAAAAGAAAGAAAAACAAATTCTTTTATAACAAGAAATCAACTTACATAGAACTTAAAAATAAAGGTTAGAAAAATTATGAGTTTAAATTATAAAGTAACTTAGTTTTCTATAAAGAGAGTTGATGAATCAGATGAAGTTGTTCTCATAAGTGTGGTGTTGTGTGGTACAAGGAATAAAGAAGAATGTGTGACCTACCAATTTTGCTACTCTTGTTATGAAGATTTAAAGGAGGGAAGGCGTGAAGCCTGTTCCATGAAGAAGAGGATGAGGCTGGTGCTGGTGTTGATGCAGAAGTTGCTGCTGCTGCTCCTTCTTTAAGCTGAGAAGGAGCTTTATCTTCACTACTGGGTCTTGGAAGAGACATGTTTTTTTTTTTTTTTCTCTTTGCTCTGAAGGGTGTTCTGAAGGGAATTTTGAACAAGAGAAAAAGTGTAGTAGTAGTAGTAGTACGTGTACAAGATGGGGCCATGTGTTTTAAGTGCTGGATGGAACCATCTGATCCGAGACCATTGACGATGAAACATGGGATGGGGCCAAAAAGTTTGGTTCAGAAATGACCACGTTGATGTACACAGAACCAACCCTTTTCTAACTCCATTTTCATGGCAGCAACACAAATGACAAACCCTCTGCTTCTTCTAACTCTCTGGTCCACTATTTTCACCTATTCATCATCATTACGCCACTCTACTGTGTCCTTCACACAAAACTTTTGGAACCAAACCATAAATATCTTTTACAAGCAACCGTTCGTTGAACTTTTACAAGCAACCATTGTATTCATCAATGGCTCATCTTGAACTTTGATCATCTGGTTAAATAATATATTATTAATAAATAATAAATAAATATAAAAGAAAGAAAGAATATAAAAGTATGAAAAAATAAAATTGTAAATATATACTTAAATATATTAAATTATGATTAAGTTTGAGTGAAATAAAATCATAAATTATATAAAAGTTACAAAACTAAGCTAGAGAATGAGAGGATAAAATTATAAATATACAAGTAAATATATTAAATACTCATTATGTTTGAAAGCAAAATCATTAATTAGATGAGAGCTACAAAACTTTAAGGAGCTATGACCCTCTCAGCTCTCACGAAGATCCGTAACCTGGTAGTATTGTTATGAATTACAAACTCTAAGCAAGCATCTTTATTGAGTATTTGTAATTAAGGTGATTAGGTTTAATTTTGTATATTTGTAAATCTTTTCAGATCAATTTTAGTTTTTACAAATAAATTGAGATCAATTTTAGAAAATTGTTTTTGAAAATATGTTAAAAAAATTGTTTAGTAATTATTTGAAAATCATTTTAAAGGAAAGAACGTAGATTATAATAATAAATTATAATAAAATTTGCAAAAGATGTTGATAATTTTATGATAATAAAAATGAGTGATTTAATATAATTATCAAGTAAAATGTTCATACTTATATCTGGAAAAAAATATTTTTTATTAATTTTGATTTTTTAATTTTTAAAATATTAAACACAAAAATAAATTTTAAATTGTTTTATCAAAATATTATTAAATAAGTTTTTTAGGTTTTAAAACTAAAAAATTGAAAAATATTTTGAAAGACAATAAATAAATGTTTTTTTATGGATAGAGATAATTTTTTTATGTATTACTAAAAAAATAAAGTTCTGAAAGAAATATAAAATAAATAAATTTCACAGTTTTTCAGTCGATTGATATAAAAAAGTTGGTTTTGATTTTAAGAATACTATCACAATTTTTTTTACGTTGAATAATTATAAATCAAACGACAAAAAATTACCAAAAAAACACACATTTTACATTAGTGTTTTTGATTTAAAAAAATTGACAAACTCTTAAATTAAATTCAAAACTCATGTAGAATAATATTTTACTAGTTAGTTCACATTAATATAATAACCGTGTCATTGGCATTTGGTGCATTTGAGGTGGCTTGTTAACAAGTTCTGTTTAAAGTAACGCAATTAACATGTAGTTAATTCTTTGAAGAATATTGATTATTAGAGTCACATTTTTTAAACATATATTTATTATTGGTTAAACATACAGTAGTTTTTATATTTAATATTACACGTGAGACTTGTTAAATATGGGACAAGGTTCATAAAATTTTGTAACTTTTAATAAATTCCACTTCCATATATTTAAGAAAGAATGATGATGGATTAGTGGGAAAAAAAGAGTTTAAGTTTACAAATGTAGCGAAATTATTAGGTTTGAGCCTAGACATTGATTGTGGGTTGGTTGAGAAGCTACTTTAATAAGGTGAAAAAGTGTCACGTTGCATGTTTATAGTAAGTTGAAAGCAAAGGCAAAAAGAAGAACTGAGAATTATAATTACTTTAATGGATTGGATTCCAATGTCTAAAGCATCCTATGCATGCGTTGTTATCATTAACTGGATATGTATTGGTTAAATCGGTTGAAAATTTTAAATGTGAGTCTTAGTTTCAAATTGAATAAAATTAAGAAAGTTGAGTAATACAAGAGAAAGATGAGTCTGACATTAATTCTGAACATTGTTTAGTTTGTTTCCACATTGCATTCATATTTTTCTTTTTGTGTGTAATCTCCTTTAGGTGAATCCAGTGTTATCCTGAGATAATCCAACAAGTATAACACTCCCTTTATCCCAAGTTCCCAACCAACATGTACCATCAAAGTTCATAAATGACAACCCTTTCAATTCAACACATACTTCAAAATACATAGGAATGGTGAAGCCCTTTTTCTTATTCAGCATTTTCCAAAGTGGAATGAAATCACCAAAACATGCTAGGAATGATTGTTAGTGCAAGCATTAAGGAAACAAAGAATAATATAAGGATAACCATTTACCAATTTTCAAAGACTGGATAACCTTTAATCATAACACCCCCTACGCACTCACTCATATTTCATCTTTTACTTTCTCCTTTCTTAATACTTCAACATAGTTTTCTATCATCAATAATCTTTTCTCCCTACCAAACAAAGATTCATTCCAAATTTCCCCTCCTTTTCCCTTCCTTCAAGCTTTGTCCTGCATTTTATTTTCATCATTGTTCTTTGCATCTAGAAATGATTATGAATATGAATATGAATCACTTCATTGAACAACTTGGATACTATTTATTCGTTCATGGATTTTCTTATTATCTATTGTTAAGAAAAAGAGATAATAGGCTTCAGCTTTCATGGTTTCATGGACTTGAGGGATGCAAGGGTTGGCTTCTTTCTGTTTTTTAGCTTCTTGCTTGTCACTTTCTCTGAACAAGATGGTATGTTTCACTTCCCTATAAAATAGTGCCATCTTTTAGCCTAACTTTTTATTGTAGAAAATTAAAGTAAAGAAATTCAGCATCCCATTTCCTTGGTCATGTTTGTTTTCTCATGTATACCTTTTTGGGATCATTTACAACATTATGGGTTGAAGCTGACTCCTCTTTTTTCATTCTCCATTTGATTTCAAACATGTTGAAGAAGTGAAAATGATGAATGAACATGATTTTAGCTTTGTGGAAGTACTTAAAAGATGGACATTATCTTATCTGGTTTATCTTCTCTAAATGCAGTACTGATATGAAAAAGGTTACTTTTGCTTTGCATTTTCTCATTAATCAATAAGAACTTTTGTACTTATGTTGTTTTACACTATCGTTGATGATTCTATAATATGAATATCAAGGACATGACCAAATTTCTTTTAGTAAGGTTAACCTCATGTTGTTCAAAAAGGTTTCTCATAGACTTTCAATGGACAGGTTTCTTGAGTCTTTCTTGTGGTGGAAGAACCAGTTTCAGGGATTCATCTAACATTTCATGGGTACCAGACAACACCTATGTAACCACAGGCAAGACTACCACCATCATTTATAGTGATGGTTCCTCCTCATTGAACATCTCAGCTCGGTTCTTCCCAAATTCCGGAAGGCGAAAATGTTACAGAATACCAGCAAACAATTCAACGACTTTGGTTCTTGTTAGAGCAAAATTTGTGTACAAGAACTATGATGGACTTGGGAAACCCCCTAAGTTCTCTGTTTCAATTGGGACAGCTATTGCTGCCACCATAAATCTTGCTGAAGAAGATCCATGGAGTGAAGAGTTTCTATGGACAGTCAACATAGATACACTGCCATTCTGCTTAATTGCAATGCCTAAAGGAGGTTCACCTGTAATTTCTTCTCTTGAAATCAGACCACTTCCTCAGGGAGCCTACACAAATGGCATGACAGATTTTCCTAACAAATTGCTTAGGAAGAGTTATAGAATTGATTGTGGACACTCAAATGATTCTATAAGGTAAGAAACCTTAACATCTGTTAGATGAGAAATGCTAGGCAACTCACTCTTTACTATCGACTGAAATTGTTGAAATCATAAAATTTTGTGATTTTCACTATTTAAGTGCACTGCCACCACTATTTTCTCTCAGTGATACTTCTTGTGGTTAACCAAGGTTGTGAAGCTTTAGCTCTATAAAATACAGGTATCCCTTGGATCCATTTGATAGAATATGGGATGCTGATAGAAGTTTCACACCCTTTCATGTTGCCACTGGGTTTAAGATTCAACTTAGCTTCAGGCAGTCTAGTCTTGTGGAAGAACCACCAGCAGCTGTTCTTCAAACTGGGAGAGTTTTGGCTCGAAGAAATACTCTGACATACAACCTCCCTCTTGATGCATTAGGGGACTACTACATCATCCTCTACTTTGCAGGAATTCTTCCTGTCTTCCCGTCATTTGATGTCCTTATAAATGGAGAACTAGTAAAATCAAACTACACAATAAATAGCTCTGAAACCAGTGCTTTATACTTGACACGAAAGGGAATTGAGAGCTTGAATATAACATTAAAGAGTATCAGCTTTTACCCTCAAATCAATGCATTTGAGGTTTATAAGATAGTTGATATTCCAACTGATGCCTCCTCAACCACAGGTTTCTCTCCTCCCTGTCTTACCTTACATTTCAGTCTCTTTCTACTAAAGGGCTATTTTGACAAATTTCTCCACAAATACTTAGAGAAAATAAAAATAAGAAGAAAAATTAAATGGACTTCTCAATAAGTTAAAATGCATATACATAAGCTGATTGATAAAATTTCTATAAAGTTTATCTGAACTTTTATTTTTGAATTTGTGCATAAACTAATGTTAGCTTGTAAAGAAACTTATTTCACTTTGTTTTTTCTTATTTTTCTCTTGGAGAGTGTTTATGGAGAAGTTTATCCAAATAGACCCCAACTATAGTTTGTTTCATTGACTTGTTATTTTGCTCTACTTGAATGCCAGTTTCAGCACTGCAGGTTATTCAGCAGTCCACTGGATTTGATCTTGGATGGCAGGATGATCCATGTCTGCCTTCCCCGTGGGAGAAAATTGACTGTGAAGGAAGCCTTGTTACATCATTGTGTGTGCACTCAATACATTTTTTTTTTCTTTCTTTCCAATATATTAGCTTTTATTTCATTGAAGATCTAATAGGAATGGCATTTTTCAGGGATCTTTCAGACATAAATTTGAGATCCATTAGTCCTACATTTGGTGACTTGTTAGACCTCAAAAAATTGTAATTTTCTTTAAACTAATTGGTCATGATCCTTGTGCATTTTGATATTTAGCATATTTTGGAGAAATATTCTATTTTATTTTTCAGCTTCCTGAGATAGCTTTCGAAAATAAAAACGATTATTTCTCCAAGTACAAGTGTTTGCAAACAAGTATCATATGTGTTTATGGTATTCAATTTCATATGTCCATTTTTGGCCTCATAATTATCAGGGATTTGCACAACACATCACTTACTGGTGAAATACAGAATTTGGATGGCTTGCAGCATCTTGAGAAACTGTAATGCTTCCATATAGCTTTAACTTGAATATTGGTTTTATACAAAGTAGACTAATAAAGCTAAAATCTTCAGGAACCTGAGTTTCAATCAACTAACATCTATTGGTGCAGATCTGGAGAACTTGATTAACCTTCAAATATTGTGAGTAACATATACCAGATGTTTTTTAAATTCAAGGGGTTCAGGTCTCTATTAGTAACTTGAAGTTTGATTTCATGGAAAACAATAGTTGAAAACCTATGTTACATTTCCCTTTTTCTCCCCTTCATTTATTTCTTTCCCTGTGTATGTGAAGAGACTTGCAGAACAATAGTCTAATGGGAGTAGTGCCTGATGGCTTGGGAGAGTTAGAGGACCTCCACTTATTGTAAGCAAGCATCAGAAAATAATGAGAATCCTTTCTCTTCTCATGTATTTATTTATTTTTGTATTCTATCCATGACAATTGATATATTAAAAATGTTTTCATTTCTGAAGAAATCTGGAAAACAACAAACTACAAGGTCCTCTGCCACAGTCTTTGAACAAAGAAACATTAGAGATCAGGTACACAAATAATATTCTTGTCTCCTCAAGAAACAACATGCATGTTAATTCCTTGATCATTTGCAGGACATCTGGTAATTTGTGTCTTACCTTTTCCACAACATCATGTGATGATGCATCATCCAGTCCTCCAATTGAGGCACCACAAGTTACTGTAGTTCCTCAGAAGGAGCACAATGTACATAAACATCTAGCAATCATTCTAGGCATGGTTGGAGGAGTCATACTAGCCTTTCTCTTAGTGTGTATTTCAGTATTGATATACAAGACCAAACAGCAATATGAAGCCTCCCACACATCAAGTATGTATATTTTCTTACTTCATGCATAATTATCTTAAACATAGTGTTTGTCTTACATTGATGTCCTTGTGTCTTTTAGGAGGAGAAATGGATATGAGGAACTGGGGAGCTGCAAAAGTCTATTCCTACAAGGAAATCAAAGTAGCTACAAGAAATTTCAAAGAAGTAATAGGAAGGGGTAGTTTTGGATCTGTTTATCTTGGAAAACTTCCAGATGGAAAGTCTGTAGCTGTCAAAGTTCGATTTGACAAATCTCAACTGGGTGCTGATTCTTTCATCAATGAGGTTCACTAACCGAATTTCTCTTACAAATAGCATTGCATGCTTAATGATATAGTTAAGCTGAGTTACACCAAAAATGTGTATAGTGAAATTGAGACAGCAACTAGCCTCCTAGGAGTTAGTCCTGTTAGGTAAACATTAAATGCATGTAGTTGAGAGGTAGTGGTTATAGAGGTAGTAGTTGTATTGAATGTATGTAATTGAGAGATAGTGGTTATATTGAATGTATGTAGTTGAAAGGTAGTAGTTGTATTAAATGCATGTAGTTGAAAGACCATATCCAAAGGCCTATAAATTGACCATGTACCACTCATTGCAAAAACACATCAAGTGATAATATACAGAGTACTTTATTTAGATATTTGTTTGTCAACAAGTCCTGTTCCTTGGACCAATAGAGTATATTTTTACCCCTATTTTGCTTCTATAAGCAGCTTAAAATATGCTCTCAAACAAAATTGCTTAGTAATATAGAAATCAATCACATTTTTTTTATAATGGCATAAGAGGAAGTTTAAATATGAGGAAAAAGTAATGAGTAAAAGCACCTTAACTTTTTCGAAAGCTCCTTCATTTAAGAACTCTATAATAGAGCTAGATATGCTAGCCTTAGAAAAGTCAAGATCTGAAAACTTTTGAAATATGTGTCTCATGTTTATCCAAATCTGAAAACAATTATTCTATGATAAAATGCTGTAGCATTTTTGTTTTCTCAAGCCTAATTCTTTCTCCAACATCTGCTATTGTGCTTAGGTTAATCTATTGTCAAAAATCCGGCATCAAAATCTTGTGTCTTTGGAAGGATTTTGTCATGAAAGAAAGCATCAGATATTGGTTTATGAGTACTTGCCTGGTGGATCCCTGGCTGATCACCTCTATGGTACTAAAGATTTTAACACAAGTTTATTTATGTCTATAATATATATATATATATATATATATATATATATGATTGAGTTAATAGAAATTTCTTGTTAGTAAAGGGTTCTTTATAAGTTAATATTAGCTTATGCAGAAACTATATTTGATTTTTAACTTGGTTTTGGTTTACGAATGATTTATTTTTTTAAAGAAAATGCTTAAGAAAGTTACCTCCAAAAGACTCATTGTATTTTTCTTCATACAATGCAACCATCATATGAGTTCTCTGCTTAACACTGCAATTTTGACTCTTTTTTTCTGCTAGGTACAAACAGTCAAAAAACTTCCTTAAGCTGGGTGCGAAGGTTGAAAATTGCTGTTGATGCAGCAAAAGGTACAACATTGAGTTCCTAAATAATAATAGCATAATTAGATCATATTAGAAACAAAATTTTGACCCTATTTTTCTCATTTTAATTCCTCACTTTATTACAACCGCATTTTAGTCCTTAATTTTGAAAGATGGCATCACTATTAATCCTTTCTTTGTTCTACTAAATCAAGAACTAAACTGAAAAACATTTTCCAAAGTCAAGAACTAAAGTGAAACGTCCAAAATGAAGGATCTATACATACCTCTAGTCATCAGTTCACGTTAACATAGACTCTTCAAACTTTATAAGAACAAGAACTGACAAGAAAAAGTTACATCAACGAAGATAGTTGGCCGTATTTATAGAGACTAACAATCATATTGAGTTCATACATGGTATAAATTATGTTTGTTTATTGAAAAGGATTGGAGTATTTGCACAATGGAAGTGAACCACGAATCATACACCGTGATGTGAAGTGCAGTAACATCCTCTTGGATATGGATATGAATGGCAAGGTCTGTGACTTGGGTCTCTCTAAGCAAGTAACTCAGCCTGATGCAACTCATGTCACCACTGTTGTCAAGGGAACTGCTGGTTACCTCGATCCAGAGTATGTCCTTTGAATTTATCATAAAGCTTTGAATATTTTTTAACATTCATACTGATATATGTGCATATTAATATCCTTGTACAGGTACTATTCCACTCAACAGTTGACAGAAAAAAGTGATGTATATAGCTTTGGAGTTGTTCTTTTGGAACTCATTTGTGGAAGAGAGCCATTGACTCACTCTGGAACTCCTGACTCGTTCAACTTGGTGTTATGGGTAACAACATACCATTCCTATTACTGTTTGTATTAAGGAGTAAAAACAATGGTTATTGTTAAAATTTTAACTACCAATTGCAGGCCAAGCCATACTTGCAAGCTGGTGCATTTGAGATTGTGGATGAGGACATAAGAGGAAGTTTTGATCCCTTGAGTATGAGGAAGGCAGCTTTCATTGCCATAAAGTCAGTGGAGAGGGATGCATCACTGAGGCCTTCTATTGCTGAGGTATTGGCAGACCTAAATGAAGCCTACAATATTCAGCTCAGATTCCTTGAATCTTCTCAGAATGAGATTTGATTTTGCAGCTACACATATCAAGTTAAATTATTTGTCATCACAGAGAGCAAGAGTGCTTATATGATATTTTAATTAATCTTGTAATTTATCATATTTTATCAAATATTATAATGAACAAACAAATATAATCAATCCAATAACTATTTTTTATCTTTCCTTCTTCCTTTTCCTTCCCTGTTAAATACCCTAGAATGCCAAGAAAAGGGTTGGAAATGATGCAATTTCACATTTTATATATATAGAGAGAGAGAAAGAGAGAGATATTTAACCTTAACATCAATATATAATAAAAGTTAACATATAGACGTAACCTTAACAACAGTTTCATTGATAAAATCAACACTTTAAACCTCTTAACCTAAGAATAAAGAAGAAACATTTGATTGATATTCAAATTTGTATAAGAAACTTAGAAGAGATTCCTATTTTTAGGATAAAGTATACAAAAAGTAAAAGGAATAAATTTTTACTAGCTTTAGATTTTCACAAAACATTTTTTACACTAGAAATAATTTCTCATTAATTATCATAATGGTTTAGATAGCTTGAACAAAACTAAGATCTAGTCTAAAAAATGTCATTTAAATTTATTCCAACAAAAAAAGGACAAAAGTTAAGTATAAAAATAAGAAAATTGATATTAATTATCCATTATTTCCAAAAATAGCATAGACATACTTTTCCTAGGGTGTTTTTGTTTTAAAGTTTATTAATCAACTGTATCCCATGAAAAAAACTGATAATTTGATCACTCCTCAAAGATGAAAATTTTATTGAACAAAATTAGTAATAAAAATAGAACTACAAATGCCCTGGTCCTGCCTTGGTTCGTTTGAATTCACCAAGGATGATTAGCAGCAAAGCTGAGAAGCATTTCAAAGCTAAAATCACGAATCACCAATGTTTCAAAATTATACAATCTCAGCTTCATTTAGAGGTGGTTGTAGATGCAGGGGTCAAATTGATCTGAGACTTGTCTGCTGCTTTATGCACAATATCAGAACTTTCTGCATCAGTTTTCTCAAGCAGAACTTCTCGTTGCAAGTCTTTCAACATCTCCTTCAAAGCTTTCTCTTCTTCCATAAGTTTAGAATCATTCAGGTTGGTTTCAGACTTGCCAACTTGATGCATACTTGCATTTTTTTCTGCTTCAACTTGTTGAAGAGAAGTTTGTTTCTCCAGTACTTTCATCATCATCTCCGATGTTCTCTCTTCCCCTTGCAGTTGCATTTTCATTATAATCTCAGCTTCCTTGTCTAGAGGCTTGAAATAGTCTTCAATGGCTGCCTCCTGCAAGGAATTTCCATCTTGTCATGCAACAAATTTGAGTTCCACAATGAAACAATTTTAGTATATACATGGAAAATAAATCAAATATGACAATATTTTAAGATAAATCATCACAAAGAAGTTCTCAATGCATGTTCGTATAACTTCTCAAGGGAAAAAAGAACAGATAAAACTTCCTGTTTAGAAGAAATTGTGACTTCAAATTTACAAGTGATAGAAAAGGATTAGAAATTTCAAAAACAAAAATCCAAAAGAAATACATTTATATGAATCATAAATTTCCAAATTTTTCTATTTTTCCCTGAATACAACTTACTGTTTCTTCCAGCTTCTTATTCAAAGCTTGCATCTCCTCAACCATTTGACGAACCTCAGATATAATAACCTTCTCAGGTACTTTATTTATGGCTGCTTTCCTTTCTTGTACCTTGTAATTGGAAAACATCAAACACATCAGAATAGAAATACAGAAGAATTCCCACACCTGCCTTCATCACTGCAATTAAAAACGAAGGTTACAAGGTTAAATTCATATGCAACCTATCTGAGATTGGAGACCTCAGGGCCTTACAAAGACCAAATTAAATTAGAATCCAATTTGTTCAATGTCGGAGTCAAGTCCCATACATTGCAATTGGATTCTACATTGCAATTGGATTCTAACGCAGATCCCATTTGATTTTTAAAATAGACTCACTAGGCTATTACAATTTTAAAAGAGCCTTAGCTTCACATGAAATGACTAACAACATTCAATGCTTTGCTGTCTCGTATTTGTAAAAGAGAACAGAAACTAACACAAGAAAGAATGTAAATGTTCTTAGAAGAGAAAATGGTAGACCTGTTGTAGACGTTGTTCAAGCTGCAGCCTAAAAGATCGTATTCTTCGCTCTTCATATCCAGAGAGCACCCTGACATAAAAGAGGGCTTTCCTCCCAAAGTCTAACAACTTATTCATGTTGACAAATCATCAAGCACTACTTGTTTTGGAAATTTCTGCACATAAGAATCCACCTCAGAAATGCCAAGGAAAATAAATATTCAATGTTGATTAAACTGATAACTCTACAAAGGATTAATTAACAAGTTTAATGCAGCTGCCAAATCGAATGAAACCTCAGGTAAACTATCACTAAACAGGAGACAATACATGTCATAATTACAAGCAGAAAGCCTTATTGTTCCTGAGGGTATGTTTGTTAGTGAGGTTTGGAAGGGAAAAGGAAGGGAGTAAAATTATTATTTTTAATATTCTCTAATTTAAGGTTTTTAAAATAACAGAAAAAAATGATAGAATAGCATAAACTTAATGTCTCAATCTTTTGTTTATTTCACTTTTATATAATGCTTTAAAAAAAATAAAAATTGTACCCCCCTTCCGTCAAAAATCCCACTTCCAGACAATAGGCTAAAGCTTCTGTCCTCCAAAAATAAAAGATTTATTAAACTTACAAGATATTGAACTGCACAGCTAAAGGGAACTGAAAGAACTAAGGATGACAGAAAACCAACTCAACAATCTGACATTAATGGACTTCATAAACTTACAAGATATTGAACTGCACAGCTAAAGGGAACTAACTGAAAGAAATAAGGATGAAAGAAAATCAACTCAACAATCTGACATTAATGGACTTCATACAAGAGCATCGGAAGGAGGCAGATGAAGATAAGAGCATGAACTATTCACAAAAAGACTAAGAAAGAGAAAATCACAAAATCCCTCAGATCACATAGCAGCAAGCTGAAGAGCCTCATTCTGTCAGTGTAATAACACAAACAAAAGTACACAAAGTTTTGAATTTAGAAAAAGCATAACAGAAGTTTGTAAGGAACAGATGAAGTTTATACTCCACAGGAAATCAGCACACTCCAATATGCACCAAACTAATTTAAGGCCAACTTAGCAAGCCACACTCCAGCTTAGCCCCAAACTAACATTTCAAATTCTCTGGCTCACGGATGCAAAAACCTTACCGCAACCACTTTTTAGAAGTCTGACAACAAAAATAATAAAAAGATTCCTTGAAAATATAAACATTGTCTAACTTTAAAGCTTAATATCCTCAAAAAAATTAAAATAGAGTTTTGAGAAATTGTGTGTATTCTAAGTTCCTAAGAACGTTAAGATTGGAAAAAGTTAAATATCACTGCTCTTAGAAATTTGGTATATAAAGGTATAGGTCATCCATTGATCCATTGCCATGACTGGGAATTCCAAATATATTTTATGCTATTTTAGCTTCAAGAAGTAAATCTATACTCAGTATACTCTTTCTTTCTAATAATACCTGATAAATTTAGCAGCAAGAAAATTAAGACAAGGGAGTTAACAATACAGACCTTGGAAAAATATGCTAAACTTGACTAAAATTATAACAGAGACTGCAACATCATTAGGTGTTCAAAAGTGAGTTGAAAAACTGGTTCTCCTAAAAAATACATATAGTAAGTAAAGTCTGTTCATATGAAAAGACTACCTTCAAAAAATTAGTTTTATAGATGAGGACAGAAGAGGCAATCAAGCAGCTATACAGTGCATCATCGAACGTTTAAGGCATGGGTACTTTAAAATTAGTGACATATCCTTATTATACCTGTGTTAGTTATTAATGAGCATATAATATGGGTGCCAACATATTAGAACTTAGCCATCTTATCTTTAATCGTCTTATCTTATGTATGTTTCTTTATCTTTAAACAATGAACCATTACTATAAAAAATAATCTAAAATTATGCTTTTTCAGTAAATTTTGTGAGAGATCATAAAGCACCAATAAATAATGTCATGTCATGATAATGGTAAATCAATATTAATACCAACTACGTTAAGAAAATAAAATCAAGAAAATTAATTTATAAATATAAGCAACATATAAATGTTGTACTTTACTTAATATATATCGCCATACCCGTTAATATATTTTTAACATATTCAATAGGCACAGCTGCACCAATGCAACACAGTCTACAACTCAACAACCAAAGTATAACGAAGCAATCATGGAAGCATTCCATTGACTATGATAAAAAGGTCTAGTAACAGAAGAAACGACCCTAACCCTAAATGTGTTGTACTAATTGCTGGAAAGACTATCTTTCTCCTAAACCATTCAATCTCGTTAAAACTCATAAAAGGGGCAATAGCTTCACACATCAAATCCACCACCAAGACCCATCAGAACATCCACAAAAACAGACCACAAGAAATTATCATTTACCAAACCAACCAAGAAATATAACCAGAGGGAAACTCCAATCTCAGTTAGGCATTCGACCGAACACATAGTTTGCAACCCACAAATCCATTCAGCACAAATTAAACAAACATTTAAAGTTGCTCTAAGCCCATCAATCAATCACTTTACAGAACCCCATGGTCACAATAACACCACACGAAAATACTCAGAAAAAAATTCTAAACTATGCAAAAAATCCATAAATGTACGCCAAGCAAGAGAAAATGATCGTCGAAACTAAAATAATACTGGTTTTCAAGTTCGAAGCCGATGGAGAGATCGTTGAGAAATGAAATGAGATTTAGCTACCTGAGTGAGAGTGATTAGAGCCCAATATCAGCGTTTCATCATCATCGAACAACCTATTGCTTTAGACTCCACAAAAATATTCCGTCAGCTTTCGATTAGGTATTACCAGTTGCATAAATATGTAGTGTAATTCGAAGGGCTTTATAATTTTGGAAAATTTTAATAAGTAAATTTTGGTGCGTGAAAAATTACGTGATTAATTTAGTGAAATTTGGTAGTATTATTATCAGTAAAATAATTTTTTATTTTATTTCTAGAAACGTAAACAAAGTAATTATTCTTAAAATAAATAAATTACATCATATACATATTCAATAATAATAATAATAATAATATATAGAGAGATAGATATAATTAAAATATTATATTCAAATATTTAAATAAGATTATTAATTTTTATTAAATATTTATAAATAAATATTTCTCTTTATTGTAAGAATTCGGAAAAAAATATTTAGTTATATGAATTAAATTATATTAATCGGGTTCTTTTTGAATTACACCATATATAATTTTTATAAACATACCCTCGCTAATGTTTTAAAAATATTTACCCTATAATATTTTTAAATAATTAAAGAAAAACTATATATATATATATATATATATAAATTAAAATAATTGCAAAATTTTGAGAATAATTATTTTTTTCTTTATATTGTTATTATTAACTGTTGAAAATTGTTCTGCAGAATACTTTATTTTTTTATTATAAATTTTCAAAATTCTTAAAAATTTTATCATAATTTTTATCAAGCTTATATTTTTATTATTATAAATATTATGATCATATTTTGATTATGTAAAAATATAAAGATTATAAATTTATTATTAGAGCATAACAAATATTTCTTTTATTAATTTATTTGTATTTAATATAAATAAATAACATATTTTAGTAATAAAAGATAGGAACGAGGAAGTTTCATAATTTAATATGATATTATGAGCTTTCGAAAATTATATTTATGTAATAGAATTATTGCTTTTAAAAGGAAAAAAATTTACTGTGAACTCAGTGAGTCTTGTGCCTTTTATATTCATAATATTCAATATTGTCAACACCTATTAACACTTGCCTTTATATTTCTACATCTTTCATGTGCGAGGAACAAAAGGTAAAAGATTTAACCTTTCTCCTTTGTCTTTCATGTGCGAAGAAAACAGAAGAAAGAAAATAAGACTGAGACATGATCGATTATTTCTAATTTTTTTTAAATATTATATTTTTTATGTATTTTAATAATAATAAATAATTATTTAAAAATATTAACATAATAAATAAATTTATTTAAAATTAATAAAATAATATTTTACTCAACCAAATTAATTTTATCTTTTATAAAAAAATTTACTTTTCATTCTCTTTTTTTAAATCCATACAATTTCATTTTTATTCTTTTTTCTCTTATTTTCTACTCCCTTAAGTTAATTTTTCAATCTAGTATCTCTCTAAAATTAGCATCAACAATAATAGATATTTTAAAGAAAAACTTAATTAAAAACATTGGATATCTCAAAACTCTTAAACATACATTTTATATTTTCTATTTAATAATATAATAATAATGAACATAAAAATTAAAATTTTCATTAATATTATATTAAATTAATGTATAAAATTATTGGATGAATATAATTATGAAAAATTATATATATATATATATTAAAAATAACACTTTTAAATTATTAATTAACAATCTTGTCATGAGGTGTCATAAATTTTACAACCATTTAGTAAACATATGAAAAGTTTTACAATCTTGTCATGAGGTGTCATAAATTTTACAACCATTTAGTAAACATATGAAAAGTTTGCAAAATTGAAAATTTCATTTTATATATATATATATATATATATATATATATATATATATATATATATATATAATATTGCATAACTTCTTAGAGGGGAGGAATAGTGTATGTCTAAAAGTTTTTTTACTTTTAAATAGTCATATTTAATATATCTATTTGCATATTTATAAATTTAAACTTTTAAATAGTGTATGTCTAAAAGTTTTTTAACTTTTTATTTAATATATTTATAAAGTTAATATATCTATTTGCATAACTTTTATATTTATTTATTATTTATTAATAATATATTATTTAACTCTCAATATTTTGATTAAGAAAAATATATATAAAAATTTAACGATAAAATATGAATTTTAAAAAATATTAAATTTTATTTGGTCTACCTTAAAAGTTTGTTGGTCTCCACCCATATTTTGTTTATCACATCATTTAAAATTTGACGGCACCATTAATAAAAATGTAAAATATGCTTAAATATTAAGAAATGTTTTCATTTAGGGTAGAATATTCCTACATATAAGAAATCATACTTAAAGAAAATAAATGTTAGAATTTAAATGTAAATTGAACTAGCATATTTAATAAAACACATTTTGCTTACTCTCACCTTATACTTTACTAAAATGGTTACTAGACTAACAAGACTTTGATATCATAGATTAATACCTCAACTAAGTAGGAGACAAGATAAATATATATGAGAATATCACTGAATATCCTTCAACTTTTGGTCTATCTTATAAATGGTGATACATTTTTTAACTAATGAGCAATATTCTTTTCATTGTAAAAAAAATTTCATCATCATTGTCTAATAATTAATGACCATAAAAGTAAAGATTTGTAGATTGAACAAAATTAACATTTTTCGAATTTTAAGACCGTTGTCTCTTTAAAACTAATAAAAGAAACACTTTCTTTATATATTTTTATTTTTCCTTAAATCTTTCTCTTTGATAAAATATTTTAAATTTATTTTATTTCTTATTTATTTTATCTTTTTATTTATTTTTAGTACTCACCTTAAATAGACTCTAAATTTATTAAAGTTGAAAATAAAAGTAGTTTAAGTTCATTATTAAACTAGCAAAAATATAGTCATCAACTTTTCTTTAATATTTTAAATATTTTATTTTATTTATTTTTTAATTATTTATCATATTTTTTTCTTTTTCATATTTTTACTATTTTTCAAAAATATAAATTATGATAAAAAAACAATTAATATAAATAATCTATAACAATAACAATTACCAAAATATTTAAGAATTCATAAAAAATATATAATTTTTGTATATTAGTTTGAGATAATATAAATATTTAGTCTAATTATTCTACGTATGCTTTTGAAATTAGGTTATATATGATTCATTAAGTTTAACTATAAATCTCATTTCATTGTGATTGTTAAACTTGTTCTAGCATAAGAATGGAACTAGTCGATAAAGATTAATGCAAGTGTTTAATGTTTTCAAGTCCACTATCCATACTTCCCTTAATCCCATTTTTTCTTCTCACTAGACTATGCATCCCTTTGAACTGAGTCTTGTGTCTTTTATATCTAAAATATTCAATATTTATTAAGACCTAACACTACTTCTTTGATGACAATATGATGATTTTATATTTGTATATCTTAGACCAATTAATTCATATTGCATTGAGTTCTTGTTACCATCTATAAATGTAGAAGAGAAGAAATTTGAGAACTAAGTATAATAGTTTTTATATAATATCAATGATTTACAAATTTAATATTGTAACATTTACATCACCCACAATTTTTTTTACTGTTGAATACTATTATTTATGGCTCTAATTACCTGTTTAATTTGCTTTTTATTACTCTTGAAAAAGATAATTGTGTGGATGTGAATTGCATTACCTTAATGATTGTTTGTTTCTAGAAATATAATTTAAAAGAATAATTGCGGGAATTAATTTGAGATGATATATCCCACGTCTAGAAATTTATACTCGTTTAGGATGGTAAGGAGGTGGATACATTCACCTGCACTTCCTCCCAACCCTTGGAAGAATTGATGAGAAAGTTGGAGTTAAAAGGTAAAATGTATCATTTCTCCTCGATATCATTGAATTTTAATATGATAAATTTATGCATGTTGGGACATGAAACTTATAATAATATTTCCCTTCAATTTTTACTAAGGTCATCACCTTATAAATTATTACTAAGGTAATATAAGTCTACTTTGTTAAATATTCAATTTTTTTATATCCAGTCTTATCAATTATATTAACTATAATAAATTCATTAAAATATCTTTAAATTTACTATATTTCTCTCTTTCTAAACAATTTCACAATTCACTATAAATTATCTCAAATTCTCGTCCTAATCTAAAGATAAGCTTAGAGTAACATCAAAGTGCATAAAGAGAAAAAAAGACCCTCACTTTTATATTAAGATAATATATTTTTGAATGTTATCCACATTTATGTTATTCAACTTCATTATTTATAGTCAATATAAAATTTCAATTTTCTTTTGATTCTAACCCTCTTTTTTAAGTGTGATTTTCTCTATGTAAGAACTATATTTATTAACTAAGAATACCTTCAATGATATCTCTTATTAGGGATACATTAATGGAGACTCTATTAATTTCATCATTTAACTCAATAAAACATACTTTACTAGGTTGTGACCCTCACTTTTATATTACGAAGTCGGTCATCAAACTAATAAGATTATAATACTACTGTTAGTATTTTTTTAGTATTTTTTTTTAAAGAGGATTAAGACAGGTTGGTTTTAACTAAGAGAGGTAGGGTAAAATTATCAACTTTTGATCCTATTCTCTATTTGCTGTTAGCATTGTTTTCTCTTCCTGATACCTTCTTGGATTAATGACCAGTATTCTTCTCTTTTGATGACAAAAGATTTTTCATTAATATTCTATAATATATTAGAAATATACTTAAGATTTTAGATTGTGAATAATATCAATCTCTTATCTTTGTTGGACTTATATCTCCAAAATTCCAACAACATAATAAACATCTAAGCAGAATTATTGATATTTTTAGATGTCATTCTTGTTATTGTTTGCTGCTTCAAGATCATACTCCAGTAGAGACTTTTATACCATAATGTTATATATGCAGAGAAAACTGACTGATATATTCATTGAAATCTTTCTCTTAGATATATAGTAATGGAAAAAAAATATCCTTACTTAAACTAAGGAAATAGTTGTTACTACTTCCGGTTTAGTATCTGTTAAGATTAGAACCCGTTGAAGTTTTTGATAGCAGAGTATTGAATATACAAAACAAAGTGACTGATAAATCTTTTGGTTAGATTAAACTAAGAAAATAATAATAAAATAATTAACTTATCTATGATTATTCTATTGGATAAAATTAATAAACTGATTCATAAAACGTGGTTAATAACAAATCTTAAATAAACTCGACTTACCTTATTTAGAACAAAAATTACTAAATAAAATTTAATATTTTTATTTTTTTCATAAATATTTTTCTTCAATTAAATACTTTTAATTTATTTTATCTTTTGTTTTTTATTTTTTATTCCTGACGTCAAATAGACTCTAAATTTATTAAAGTTGAAAATAAGAGTAGTTTAAAATATTTTTACAATTTATTTTATTTTATTTTGATTATTTATCATTTTTTTCTTTTTCATATCATTAATATTTTTAAATATATAAATTATAATAAAAATAGTTAATATAAATAATATATTACAATAAGAATTATCAAAATATTTAAGAATTCATAAAAATATATAATTTTTGATATATTAGTTTGATCTAAATATTTATTTTAATTCCTTCTAATTAATTATTTTAAAATTATTTTACCATTTTTTAAAATAAAAGTAGTTTAAAATATTTATTTAACATATATTTTTTTAATTCTTTGTCATATTTTTTCTTTTTCATATCTTTACTATTTTTAAATACATAATGTAATAAAAATAATTAATATAAATAATCTATAACAATAACAATTACCAAAATTTCTAAGAAAATTCATAAAAATATTTAATTTTTGATATATTAGGTTGATCTAAATATTTAATCTAATTCCTGCTAGTTAAGCATTTAAAAATTAATTTACCATTTAATAATTACAAAAAATAAAAAAATATATTTTGTGATTAATACAAAATTATCACATGAAATATTATAAAGTCTATAAATTATTATTTTAATAAATCTTATACACAATTTTTCATCTCATATTAAGTTCTTTTTTTTAATTATGTTTAAAGAGACAATATTTTTGTTTCACCTCAAACAAAAAAAATGGTTGTAATTAGTTAACACCATAAAATGTTTGTAATATTAAAGTTTAGATGATAATTTTTCAAAAATAAATTTTTGTCGTCAAATTCTAAAATTAATAATTTATTGCTAACTAATTGTGAAATTGAAAATTCAGTAGAAACAATTGCATGTTAATAATAATAACTTATTAAATTGAAATAAATGAGGAAAAAATATTTGGTTTGGATTACGAATCATGCTCGAATTTTCAGTGCCCTATTAAAACAAAAAGAGAAACCAAAAACGTGTAAGGAAATAATAACAATAAAAATAGCCATGCGGCAAGATGAGGAGTGTCGTAAACGACGTCGTTCCTTTCTTGTGGGGCCTTCTAATTTTCCCTGGTAATTCTTGTTTGTCCCACAAACAAAGAAGAAATTGGATGCAGCTTTGTTGGTTGCAATAATAAACTATTTTACAAAGAAGCTTTGAGACCCCCAATCTCATTATTCTTCCATCAATCATTGTCACCATTCTCCTTGATTCCTTTCTGGGTTTTCTTCTATTTCATTATTATTGGTATTCTTATTTTAATGTTTTCCAATTAAATCCTATCCCTGAAAGTACCACTTTTTATCCCTTGTTGCTTTCTTTGTTATACCACCAAGGCACCAACCCTCTATGCATTTTTCTCCAAAAGTAGGAAGAAAATAACCAAAGGGTTGAACTGCAATTGTGGTTTGGATTGTTGATTTCTCCAAACCATGATCTTGAGTTTCTTGTGTGCTTTTGCCTTTTTCTTCAAGTTGTTCTACCACCTTCTTTGATCCGAAAGCTATGGTCAACAAAACTTTATTGTCTCATGAATGCTTGGGTTTTTGGGATGAGGGTCGGTGAAAATTTTGGATTTTGCTCGGTGGGTTTTGTGTGTTATGTGTTATGTTTCTTGCGTCAAATGTGATGGTCTTTCTGGGCAGTTCAGAGGAAGATGGCTTCGCAGGAGACTCACTCTTGGACGTTTGGAGGACTTATTGGTGCCTATATTGACCTTGTTTTAGCTTATTTCTTGTTGTGCGCTTCATCTTTTGCTTTCTTTGTGTCCAAATGGTTTACAATTTTGGGTATTCTTTTGCCTTGCCCCTGCAAAGGGCGTTTTGGGTATAGGAATAGCCGTTTCTGTGTGCATAAACTGCTGTTTGAATGGCCCTCAAGGAAGATATGTTCCATTCAAGTTATGGCGATTAAAAGGTTCCCTTTTGATTTGGTTTGGGTTGATGGTAATTCTTGCCGTGCCAATGATAAAGTGGTTGCTGAGAGAAAACATGTTAATAGGGTTGTTGAGTTGGAAGATGAGGCATCTTGCAGCTCATGTACCAGTCCGCGTTTTATTCCCTTAGTTGATAGGGAAAACGTGTATAATGCTAAGGGGAAGGGGGCTATGAGTATGAAACATAGGTCTGGAATTCGGCGCCGGAGGAGGGGTAGTTCTGATCCTGGGAAACTCTCTTCAGCTGTTCCTTTACATAATCTGCAATCTGATGTTGTCCTCACTCCCTTCTTGCCTTTTGATGACAGCGTAGTTATAGGTAAAACCAATGCAAGCACGAGTCCTACCTCAGGGAAAGGAGTTAATGTAGTTGGTAAGTGGAAATTTCTGGCATAACTATTGTCCCTTTGACGGTTTCTTAGTGAGAATTTGTAGTCTCGAATATATGTTTTAATACCTTTCATTCTTAAGCATATTAATGATTCTTGCAAACTATCAAGCTCAGCAGCTTGTGATGATTATGAGGAATGATTTTCCTAGGATTGCGAAGGCCTAGCAAGTTGAATCTTATATTCTTGTTGAACACCTATTACACACATGTATTTCTATAATTCTGTACATACTTGATATTGGTTTTTGACTTGCTCTATTTGCCATCCTTCTATTTAGATGCCGAAGATGATCAAAATGGCCGTGATTTGGATGAAAAGACCTGTCATAGTTATGAATTTAATGGATCGATGGTTGGTAGTCCAGGACAGGACAAACATTTGTTGTCATTGGAACACTACATGAATAATGCGGGTGACCACGACCAGATTGTCGGCAATGAAGAGGACCGTTTCAAGATGTTTGAAAATGCACTTGAAGAAGAGAAAGCAGCCTATGCTTCTCTTTACCTTGAGTTAGAGAAGGAAAGAGCTTCAGCTGCTACTGCGGCTGATGAAACCATGGCTATGATATTGCGGCTGCAGGAGCAGAGAGCATCAATGGAAATGGAAATGAGGCAATACCACAGGATGATAGAAGAAAGAGTTGCTTATGATGAAGAAGAGATGGAAATTCTGCAAGAAATTCTTATGATAAGAGAAAGAGAGAATCACTTTTTGCAAAAGGAACTTGAAGCTTATAGGCAAATGGATTCAAAAGGAAGTGACCAATCATATGATAAGGCAATGGTGCAACGTGATCAAGGTGGACAAAGAACTCCAATTTCAGTTGAATCATATGAAGATCGAACCACCATATCATTTGTTAAGAAAGATGAAACAACAGATACTTCCACAAGTTATACTCAGACTTGCATGAATGCAGAAGATGGAGAAGAACTGGAGAAAAACACAGAAAATAAGGATCAAATGCATGACAAGCTGCGTAGGTTCTTTTATGATACTGATCCAGATGTTCTTGATGTCCATGTCATCGAAGACAACATAGAAGTAAAGGAAGAGGAAAATGATAAGTTAAGTATCTCTTCAATGAGTACTGTTACAAGTGAAATCACAAATAGGTATCTTGAATTTGGAAGTCTAAAAGTTCGAAGCAGTGATGTAAGTAATTGTCGAAGGATAAATAAGACAGAAAAAGGTAATAGTGTTGATGGCCCCACAAGTCAGATATCCATGGTTTCAAACTCAAGATGCAAAACTTTGACTTTTGATTACGGAAGTGATTCTTCAAGTGCACTTGAAGATGAAAAGTTAAAGATTGGCAATGAGATTGAAATGCTTGGAGAAAGGTTGAGGAGGGTCAAACATGGAAAGCAAAAATTGTCTTCCTTCCAAGAGAATGGAGAAAGTTTGCAAGGGCGGTTGAAGCTTCTGGAGGATATAGCAAACAATCTCCAAAAGATTAAACATATGAGAAACACTGCACGAGGGGCTTCCTTGCCCCCTTCCTCATCTAAGGTATTACAGATTTGGTTGTTGCGTTCATCATTCATTTTTTAAGACTAAATAGGTTTGTCCGACTCATTATTTTTTGACTTTACTCCATGTTATCTTTCTTGTGAACGTGTTAAGTTATCTAATCAAAATTGTAACGCGATACTGACGTGGTCATGTTTGTTGACGTGGCATTGATATGTATGACACATCTATATCAGCTTGACATATTATTGATGATCGTTTAGTCACGTTTGCATGAATCTGACATACATATTAGTACCACATCAACAAATATAATCATGTTAGGATTATATTGTCCTATTTCTTTAAACAATTGAAAGACCTTGACAAAGGGGACAACATTAACTCACTTTTAAAAATAGTAAGACCAAACTGGCATTAATAATAATAATGAGAAGAAATTGAAAAAAGTTAAAAAATAATGATTTAGTGTTTAGGGTTTGAAAAAAACCTATCTAGTATTTTTCCTGGCTCATAATGGTTCATTATGCTTCTTTCTAGTGAGACAATTGATAAAGTTCTGCTTCATTTAACATGACTCTGCAAATACAAATTCAGTATATGGACACAACTAGGTAGTGGATTATCATTGTTTGGATCTGGTCTTGATAGTAGAACTTTTTAATTAAAGCTCAAATTCTCACATTTGATGAAGAAGGCATGATTTTACGGTATATTTGGGATAGGCTTGGTAAGTTAAACAATTTTATCTAAAATAATATGTAATCCTGGTAATCAGAAGAACTTTGGTTTTACTGTGTATGGCTAATGCTGTATAATTTATCTTCATGTAATTTAAGTACATTTCTTGCTTATTCGTTAAGTTGAATAGTACCTTGCCCTGTAAAGTGATCTTGGAGCACCTTTTCAATTCCAATTGCCTAGGAACATTATCAAAATGGGTTCATGAGAGATGATAAGAAAGTTGCTGATTTCAATGTGTTCCAATTGCAGTTGCCCTTGCATGTCTCAATTTTTGTATAGCTTTATGTCTTAACCTCTTTTGTAAATTTGTGTTTGTCATCAAGTGTATCTGTTATTACTTACCAAGCATCATTCTTCCAGTTCTCTCTAACCATTCATCTCTTTACGCCCAAGAGGATAGTCATGAAGGTCTAAGTCAATCTGTGGTTACTCTACATTGAGCGAATTTTGTTTGCAATGTTAAATTCTTGTATGCCAACTCATATCTATAAATAGATTTTGGTCGGAGCTAATCTATAAAGAACTGATTCTTTAACTTGTTTTACAAATCCTTATCCAATATTGATATTGTTATGAAAATCCAAAACAACTATGTGAGACATAGAAGCATGTATAATATAACTACATTGAAACATTGTCTCTCGATGAATCAAAAATGGAAACTCTCCTGTTTTGAATGATATGAAAAACAGAAAGAAATTGATAGTACTAGTTCAATTTGTAGACAACAGGAAGTAATTTATGACGATTTTTTGTTTTTTGACTGGCTTTGCATAATACTCCATTTTGTACATATATAAATATTTATCTTAGAAGTATCTAATCCTTTTAGAATCATCCTATTACTAAATAGGATTCAAAGTGTATCTTATACATTTCTTGCACTTGTCATTATTGTATAGCTTAGAACTCAACAGTTTTAATGTATTGTGACTGTTCATAATGCAACCACTAGTTATGTTATGTTGCTTGATGATCAATGCTAATTATACCCCTTCCATTTTAGGTGAGCGCGAGGAAAAGACGCAGCCACAGTGTGAATTTGGAGAAAGGTGAAAGCAGCTAAATCACGAAAGTGCCTTCACAACATGTTATTGACAGCACCTCTGGTAGCTACTAGAATTTAGCAATGCTTCTTTTTACTCTGTTGTATATAAATAAACCTTATGAGTCCTCTAGGCTAACATAAAAGTATAATTTTCATATCTATTGCTCCTTGTGATGTGTTTTTTGCCTTGGAAGGAAACGTGGCTCAAATGTTGGTATGTGACTGTATATATAATTTTCTTGTTCTTGTAGGTTGTGGTATTCTTCGTGTCTATAGAGGATAGAGGGAAGCTTATAAATGTAATTATTGCTTTCATTTCTTTATGTAATAATATAGACTGTGTAATAATAACGACCATGTGTGCGAATTTTTATTTTTTTCTAAAAATGATGTTAGGAGTATGTTTTTTTGTTTTTCTAAAAATGATGTTAAGAGTTTGTTTTATTTTTAAGGGAATTTCTAAGACCAACCAATTAAATGTAAATTGTAAATAATAATGATTCATTAATGGGTAAAAAAAGAAAGAAGGTAAAGTTAAAGAATGAAGATTTTATTTAAAAAAAAAGAGAGAATGAAACTTAGTGACAAAAACATCAATATCTTACTTTCATTTGTTTAGGTTTCACTAATTAACAAAAGTTTGTTGTGAAGTAATTGAATTGTGATGAAAAATGTTGGAGTTGTTTTGGTGTCCCTGGTGGTTTGGCACTGTTCTCTATAACATAGAATCTAATTTTGTCCCACGTCCAAAACCTGAGATGACAAAATTAACGTGCAATTTGGTTCATAAAAAATTCACGTGTGTCGCTCATTTGTTGCTTGCTGCTAAATTGCAAAGAAATAGCATTTTTTACAAAAGTTTTTATATTTAATCATCTAATTGTACTTAAATTTAAAAAACGTAAATTTAGTTTTTACAAATTTTATAGCAATAAAGTAATTGAATGTTAAAATTTAAATATAAAAATATTAAAGAAAAATAGATATAAAAAATACTTATATATATTCTTACATATAATGTATAACACTTATGTATTCTAAAAAATTTTAGTTGGTGTTTTTGTGAAAATTGTTCGAATTATCTTTCTTGACCTTATTTATGATCTTTATCAATTTTTACACATTTTTCTTTAATGGTTCTCTCAATGACATTACATATTTTTATTTATTTAAAATTTAAAATTAAATTAAAATTTTCTTGGACGTTGTGTGGTGAATATGCCGTCACTGTCCACCATCCCATCCTACCTCCACCCTTCCAGTGGAAACCCCCGCCACCAAATGTCAACGAAACCCACCAAAACCTTTCCTTCCACCCACCACTCCAATCACTCACACCCACTCCAATAATAACAACCCCTCCTCCTTATAAACCCAAAACACACACCACACACTACACACTCTCATCATGGCCACCCCAATCCACGCCGCTTCACCCACCAAGAAGCCCCAACCCATCCCCTGGACCCACCAGGAAACTGTCCACCTCATCCGCGCGTATCAGGAGAAGTGGTACGCGCTCAAGCGCGGCCCCCTCCGCCACAACCAGTGGGAGGAGGTCGCCGTCGTCGTCGCCGCCCGCTGCGGCTATGACCTCGCCCATCCCGCCAAGTCCGCCCTACAGTGCCGCCACAAAATGGAGAAGCTCCGCCAACGTCACCGTGCCGAGAAGAAGCACCTCGCCGCCACGCTCCGCCCTGCCGCCTGGCAGTATAACGGCCTCATGGACGACCTCGAACGCGGCCCCCTCCCCATCTCCGCCCTCGCCCCTTTCCAAAACGACACCGATTCAGAGCCCGATGACGGAGACGCTTATCAGAACGACAATGATGGCGATGAAAGTTTTATAAAGTCGAAGAGTATTAACTGTATTCTCGGCGAGAGGCCCGTAAGAATGAGAAGCGGTGAAAAAGGGTTTTTGAGGGAGCGTGTTGAAGACGAAGACGAGGACGATGATGACGATTGCGACGACGACGACGTTTTGGCGTTGCCGGCGGAGATTAGGGCTTTCGCGGAGAGATTTATTGGAATGGAGAGTTTGAAGATGGAGATGATGCAGGAAACGGAGAGGTGTAGGTTGGAGATGGAGAAGAAGCGGATCCAGATGATTCTGGACTCGCAGCAGAGGATCGTTGATTCCATTGGGAGGGCGTTTGGGTCTAACAAGAGGATCAAAATCACACAACAAATCTGAGAAGGTTTCATTTTTCAAATTTTAATTCAGATTGTGAATAATCGTAAACTTGTATATAATTAAAACTAAAAAAAAAAGTGTATGTTTGGATTAGTTCACACACCGTTCACTCATTTTAATTAGAGTTACATATGCTTTTAGGGGAAATGTTCACTTTTGATCTTTGGTATATGGAAATGTCAGGTGTAATCCCTGTAATTAAGTGAGATGGAATAAGAGATCAAGAGATGGTTTTCATAGGGATTAAAAATGAACACGAGTTTAACAGGCATGCACTCTCCATAAAAAAAACTTATAATTTCAATGGATCAGGAATCATTCTTCGCAGGATTATGTTTAATGGTTGTTATGTAAAGTGAGCAAACTTACAATTAGACCAGTTTGTGATTCCTTGATATGCAAAGGACTTTTACACATTATTCATTCCTAAAAGCATTTAACCTGATCGTATCTTCTTGTCTATTGTTTTTGTTTACCTGGTTTGTAGATTCATGGTTACATGGTTGAACTGCCTGCAGAGTGTGAAATATAATGGTCGAGACAAGCTCTGATTGGTTTCTATCATGGAAGAGTCTACAGAACTAGTTGCATAGGGTGCTGCAAGTTATTTATTCTATTTATTGTTGCATTTGAAGTCTTTACCACTCACCTCAGTGAGGGTAAGTTAATTTTTGGCATTAGTTGATTATAATGCAAGTGATATCTTTACAATAATTGCTTCTATATTTCTATTGAGCCGTATGAAAAGTTTACTACTGTAGCTCTGCTTATATGCTAACTGGGAAAGTATTGTGATAGGTTAAAACGAAGAGATTATGTTTTTCTTCCATTTCTGACCCACTTTCAATCCGTTGGTACATGCATTTCCCCTTATTACGTACTGATCTGCTTCATGTGCACGTTGTTTTTTTTTTTTTTTTATAAGTTTGTAATGATAAAATATGTTAGGATGAATGATAAACTAGAAATAACATAGCAGAAAAGTATCACTTTAAAGGAAGAGTCACATTGAATTAACATTTTTATCTACACAACAGCCCATAGAGGTCAATATGTCTGTTGGAACCAATTCATGACAAAAGTATACAGGGCATTGCAGGAGATTTATATCTCTTAACAATTATTTTACTGGAAGTCAAGGTTATTAGCAATTGATTTTATTTATATGAATCTTGTGCTTATTATGCTAGAAAGAGTTATTTTAGAGCCACAGGTTATAATTTGACTGGCTTGATGGCTTCTGCCCCAGTCTCTTAAGACTAGGGTGTAATGATTCTTTTACTGGTTCAAGCCTCCATTAACCCACGTATTTTCTTTTCTATCATAATGGCTACTGCTTTCACTTCTCTAGTAATTATGCATTTGTATTTATATCCCACTTATTAATGAGTGATGCAAATTTCCTCACTAAGATTTTTTTCAGTATCACACATGCATAATGCCTGGTCATTTGTATGCAGTTCCAAGACAATTAACGGCATGACAAAACTGATGTTTTCCCTAACTAGTTGTATTTTGGTACCAATTATGTTCAAACTTTCCAGATACCAAAGAAATCTTAACATTTTCACCATTATATTCATCTTCCTAATTTGAAATATCCGCTTCTCTTAAGATCTTCGGAATACCCTTCTGGTTTTTCGTTTTGGAGGTTATTCCATGATATGCAGCAGTGGCTATCTAATATTAATCCATTTTATGCTTTTCATTTTTATGATCTTTTTGGGGAATTTGCGTTAATTAGTTTAAAGTAGTACTTGTGTTGTATGTTTTTCAAAGTATCATCATGAAGTTGTCTATAACCATCTTGATTCCAAAGTTGAAAGATGGTTAGAGCCCAAATGTTAACTCTTGAATTAGTGACTTTCAAAGCATATAAAATCTAGTTAACATTTTTGCATTTCAGTGTCTACATGGGTTCTAAGAATTGTAGGCTAGCTAAATATTTTTAAGGAATTTCTCAAGCAGATCGGCATAGAAAAATGCTTTTCTACTTGCCTATTATTTATTTATTTTGCTTCTAAACAGACATCATTTTGGGCCAAAAGCAGGACATTCTAATCCCAGTATTTCTGAAGTTACTTACTCTATGTATTGCATCAGTCTAGAAACTTCTAAACCATCTACTTCACCTCAACTTTTGGGATTGAAATGTGCTTTTAAAAAAAGTTGAAAAGTATGAAAATTTTGAAGAGGTTGCTTGCTGAGCTGGTTTAACCAATTTTCAACAATTTATTATTTCCACATAGTAAGCTTGAGTTGTTAGATGTCCTTGTAGGAATCCTGACATTTCTGAGGTCTGACTTATCTGATGTCTAGGAGCAATGAATTGCAATTTCACTTGATGAAAACCATATCTGATGTCTAGGAGCAATGAAATTGGCTTAGTGGATTTTTTACTATAAACTTTTCATTTTGGTAGACAAGTCAGCTCCATGCAATTTCATGCAGAATAGTTCACCTTCAAACATGCATATTCCATACCCACCTGGTCTCTTCAATTGGCTGAGTGGATTTTTTACTATAAAATTTTCATGTTGGGTTAAATGCCGCGATTGCTTAAATTCTGACGTCAACATGTGGCAATTTAAGTTCAGCTTTTGGTTGGCACAACAAAATCTCTTCTACACTTTAAAAACCATATCTTCTTAGTCCTTTTCTCAATCGGTTGTTGCTTTGTTTGAATGAGGAGTGAAATAAAGAGAAAAGTTAAATTTATCATCTGATTCCTTATTTTGTCGCGTATAAGTTAAATTTATCAATTTGTTATTTAAGTCAAGGATAACTTGTTTAATTGATAAATGTTAAGGTCCAAATTTATCATTATTTGTTGAATTTATAAAATTTTATCTTTTTTAAGAGTTATTTAATTTACACACGTTTACAACTGTGTGACCTTATTGTCTTATACTTCAATTTTAATATTAGATCTAACGACATGTTTTCTTTTTTGTCTGTTCAAGAAATAATATTGTCTCCGTTCTTCGCATAACAAACCTTAATCCTATATCCATTTTGCTATCTAAGAATGCTAATGACAACATTACAATAATTAACATAATGAGATTGTATCAATTGATTAACCACTTTATCTATTTATGTTTAAGGAAAGTTTATTTTGCTCCTTCATCAAATTTTTATTTGGATCTATAGAACTATTCATTACTACAATTAATCATACATTTTTTTTCCACAATATTTAAGACATTATTTTTTGAGAAATTTATATTATTTTGATTGAGGTACACAAGATATTTTAATATGAAAGTAAGTATATAAATATTTATTTAGTTAAGAAATTTTAGTGGTATTATTTGTTGTAATGATTATATCAGGAATGAAAATAACGATTAAAAAATGTCTAATTTTTCTAATCATGCACATGAGAAATTGTTTGAGATATAATGCAACTTACAAACAAACTTATACTTCCTAAGCATCATAATCAATATATCTATGTTTATCTTTTGGATATCTATTTCACTCTAAGCCTGTCAGTTTCTTCAATGACTCAATTTTAATATTATAAACTCATTTGTATTCATTCTTTTTTCGAGGAGAAGAACTCCCTATTTGCGATTCTAGTTAAGAACCTAAATTTCAATAATAATAGTTTGTATCGAAGATGATTAAGTGTTTTATATGCGTTTCAAATATAATTTTGTTGTTTCCAATATTTATGATCTAGGTGCAATGGTGCTGGTAACATGAGAGAAGAATGGAACGAAATTTAGACATTTTTTTTATGATAATTTTTATTTTGCATTATTTCGTTTATAAATTACAATTTAGTTTGCTTGATGCTATAAGAAAAATTATTTTAATTCATCATTTTCTTTTAATTTATCTTTTATTATAAATATTGTGGATTCCTTTAATAAGACGGTTGAATGAGATGATATAACTCAATTGTTAAAAATTAATGACTTCAAAATTATTAAAGACAAAAAAAAAACTAAATTCACTGTACATTTAAAGTTTAAAACTTTTATTTTATATTGAAATGGATAAATTTAATTTTAAAAAAATAGAAAATATGTTAATAATCTAGTATTAATTTATTTTAGTATTAATTTTTATCAATATTAGAAAATTTAAATTTATAATAAATTTTATTTCTTTATGAAATTATGAAATACAAAACTATCTCGAGTCTCATGTTTAACCCGATATTTCTTTTGGGAGAATTTTTAAATTATTCCGTGACCCAAGTTGGGATGTCTGTGAACAAAAACTTTGGACTATATGGTGTGATATTGTTTAATATTCTATCCTTTTTTATTCGAAGACAATCCTATAGGATTTTGATAGACCCTTATAAAGAGAAATTTCATTTTTGGACTTGACTAAAATGATTTTCACCGTTGTCTTGGTAGAGATAAGAACTCAACAGAATTTTGGACTTCCAGAAACAACATGTAATGACCGAAGACTCTCTCAAAGATCTCACTTCAATCTTTATCATCCACCGTCCATACTTTTTAAATCCTATAGGTCAATTATGGTAAAAAAATGAAGCTTACATCTGAGAAAACTTTAAGACTTATCCTCTTGATAAAAGTTACAGAACCCAACTGGCTCGACCCCTCTGTGAAGTTAACAACTACCATTATAAGCCGGTGGACCCCAATATTGCCAGCTCATCCCAAAGACCGCTTAGTTCTTATCCTCTGAATAGAATCGTCCCAAAAGACGATGAATCTCAACAAATAAGATTTTTCAAATCAACGACTGAGTATGATTACAATGAAGAATTTTAAATAAGATTATGGTCTCAACAAAAAAGAATTTCAAAAGGTTGACGACTGAGCGTATGATTACAATGAAGAATTAATGGAAGAAATGATGATGCACAAGGAAGTGTATCACTATTGGGACCCACTACATGAAAGTATGACAATAAGCGAGACCCAACACATAAATCATTCTGGTTCCATTAGATTTGACTCAAAGTAAAGATTTTAGTCAATGACTGTTATCATGACAAATTACTAGAACAA